TCTGTCTGTCTGTCTGTCTGTCTGTCTGTCTGTCTGTCTGTCTGTCTGTCTGTCTGTCTGTCTGTCTGTCTGTCTGTCTGTCTGTCTGTCTGTCTGTCTGTCTGTCTGTCTGTCTGTCTGTCTGTCTGTCTGTCTGTCTGTAGAAGTTTATGGTTTGTAAGTATCTAGAAGTTTATGGTATGATTCCTGTTGATCTGTTCGTTGAAAATGTGTGTTCCCCCTCCCCTGGTCTCGTTTTTAAGAAACTAAAAAGTATTTCAAGGCTAGATTATCGACTTTATTGCCCTGGATTTCTATAGCACATGGCTCACACTTATGCAGGGCACATGGTGGTCCCGAGTGCGTTGCACAAAGTACGAATTCCATAGCTCCATCATTGACCCACATGGATCTCTCCAACCGGAGGAAAGAGTCTGAAATGTAATCCATAGCATTCAAAGCAGTATCCCTGTTTGGTTCCGGGGCCATTGGGGTGGGGGAGGGGGGTAGTATGCATGTCATAAGAGGCGACTAATTGTGAGTGGGGAAGGTTTCTTCGAAGTCAGTGTGCATCTGCCTGAGAGGCAGGAAACCAACAGTCTGCAGACAAAAAGGCCAAATCTGCGAAACGGGCGCACATACACAATTCATGTCCTGGAACAGAACCAAGATGCATACATGAACGAACAGCCAGGACTTTCCGCTGGAGTTTACAGTCAGTGAACGCAAACAAACAAACAAACAAACGAGCAAACAGAACAAGCTTGCTTGCTTGTTGTACCCCACCAGGACATCACACAAGCGATAAACATATGATGATACAAAGTACCACCATGCGGGTAAGGATCACCCGTGGAGAGGTCCCAGAAACCCCTTTCACCAGTTATGGCCACAAATGCGGCCCAGCTATATCCAGGGCACCCGGCAAAAGCCAAGGTGGGGCTTTGAAAAACGAAAAATTTCATCAAACATAGTGACAAGAAGTCTAACAGAACAAGGAACAGTTAACCACTTGGCCACACCTGTCTCTGTTTACGCCCTTCAGTTTCTTTCGTTCAGTTTGCCAGTCATACGTTTTTGTTTTGCTTTTTAAAATAGATTCGCCACAGTGTAGGTTATTTATTATTAATACTGTTAATTATAAATACTATTTAAGTGTAAATACATTTTCATTATAGATATATAGTTTCATCATAAATATATTTTCATTATAGATACATTTTCATTACAACTAGAACATATGTTGGTAGCGGGATCAGTTCATTCCCTGCTGACTTCGGAATATTATTAGAGGGCTTTTGTGAACATCAACATAACGGGCTTGTTAAATAAATGCGTATTGACTGACACTCATTGATGTTATTGGGAGCAGTAAAGAGGGATATGAGAAAGCAATTTGTCATGTTGTTACTCCCATGATCCTCGTCTATTTCGTCTTTTTATTTGTCTTTTCTTCTTTTTCCTTTTCTTCCTCCTCCTCCTCTTCTTCTTCTTCTTCTTCTTCTTCTTCTTCTTCTTCTTCTTCTTCTTCTTCTTCTTCTTCTTCTTCTTCTTCTTCTTCTTCTTCTTCTTCTTCTGCTGCTGCTGCTGCTGCTGCTGCTGCTGCTCTGCTGCTGCTTTCGCCCTTAAGTAGCGGATGACCGGTTGTGTTGTGATTGACGGCTAGATTGTGATATCTTCGCTTTTCTGTCTTCAGGATTGAGGAAAACAGTAATAATTCTTCTTTTACGACATGCATGTTGTTGGGGTGGATGGGGGTTGGTCTGTTCTTTTGCTTGTCCCTCTAAACGAGGCCGCGGAACGCGCACGGAAAGTGTGTCCTTCTGTGTCCGCTTGTAGGTGCTCTTTCCACATCTTCCAAAACTTTCCATAAATAAGGTGTTATCTCTTTACGCTCACTCCATCCAGACAATGGTGGTGACAACTGGTTTGTGTATCCAGCTGTCTCGCGAGTGGCAGCTGGATTTCCTCGAGGGCACCACGACGTCTTTTCTCTCGTGAACGTTCGTGTGCCCCAGTAATGGAAGAAGTGATAAGACGACGATTCGATCCGTTTGGTGTTCCCTAGGGATATTTTAAAAGGTGGGGATCGAGAGTATTTGTGGGTTGTGTGGTGGGATGAGTAATACGAATGATTGTATAGACTAACTAACTAGCTAATTACTTAATATCTAGCTACCTAAATAACTAACTAACTAGAACTAACTAACTAGCTAGCTAACTGGTTAACAAACTAATAAAAAAAAACTGAACAGCTAATAAGCCAGCTGGCCAGCTAGCTAGCTAGCTAACAAGCCAGCTAGACAACTAAATAGCTAGTTTAAAGTAAAGGATCCTTTTCCACGCCTTTAGACGTATTGGGCATATAGGGCTAAACCTTTATTTTATAGACCAATCGGCACTTGATATGTGTTGTGGTCAGCGTCACGCCGACAGCCTTTACTTCCCAGGACTGCATCTGGTACCCACTCAAGGCTGGTCGACCTCGGAGCCAAGGCTGTTTTTGAAAAAAAAACTAGGACTAGAACCCACGACATTCCGATCCTCAGGCGAGCATCTAGCAGCTGAACGGCGGAAACTGCCAGCTAGTTAACGAACTAATAAAGAATAAACTTACAAATTAGCTAGCTAGTTGCGTAATTAAAAGTTAACTAGCTGAGAAATTAGGTAAATTACTAAATAATTAATTACAAGCTAACTAAATAACTAATTTACTAACTGACTTGTGCACTGTCTATCGGGGACCTATTTTAGCAAGCTTAAAAATGTCTTAATTTACTCCTTCAGAAGTATTGGGCACATAGGGCTAGCCCTATATTTTATACATCAATCGGCATTTGGTGGGTGATGTGGTCAGAGTAAATATTACCCTACAGAGAAACAGTTAAAATAACGATTGCTTCAAAGGGAACGAGTAAAATTCACAACTGTATTTATTATATTTTCGGGAGAAATAGTTTTACTAACAACTGTTATTAATATCCTACTCCAAACAGGGAAAATCCTCAGGACACGGGACAGTCTAATATTTCAGTGGTTGGTAGATGGGCTGCATGCATTCGTGGGACCTAGGCTGCAGTCTCTCGTGGCACGTAGGTGGGTTGGGGTTAGGGCCAGTTCTGGATATTTTTGGGTCGTTAAAAGCCTCAGAAAGCCGGGAAACCCAGTCTTACCACCCTCTAAAATGTTAGACTGTCCTGTGACGTCATTTGGGGGTAGGATAATATTAAAGCACCGCTGTTTCTGTTAAATTTACCATTGTTTCTGAGAAAATGTGTTATCAATAACTATGTCGAATCAAGTGGGTTGCCGCAACTATTGCTTGATCCTTAAGAGTTCACGGTCATTATTGTGGCTAGTTAATTAAACAATAATGGTTACACCGGCCGGCGGGATGTTGACCACATCACCCACCAATTGGTCTAGGAAATATATGTGCCCAACACGCCTGAAGGCGTGGAAAAGAGGTAGTTTACTTTTTTTTTAAAATTAGTGGTGACATTATTGATGTATCATGAACCTGTCAAACATTCTGTTGCAGTTTTAGGTTTGACATAACTGAAGTAATTATGGTGTCGTCTGCTTTGAATTCGTCAGTAGGCAAATTGTGCCTGGGGTATTTTCCGCGTGGGTTCTGGGATACTAGTTTGGGAATAAAGATAGATGTACTGCCCAGTAACCCGCCGTATGGGGTCCAATCAAAAGGGGGGGGGGGGCGGTGTGGTGGGGGTGGTTCGGTGAGGGGGGGGGGGGGGAGAATGCACCCACTGCTTCCACAACAAACAATTCAAAAGCGACTAATTTGGTGTGGGGGCCTTCCTTCAACGTCGAAGTTTATCTACATGAGATGCTAAGAACCAGCAGTCTGCATACAAATAAGCCAAGATCTGTAAAACGGATGCACACGCAAAAAAATCAGGTCCTGGAACAAAACCGAAGCCCACAAATGGACGAACAACCAGGTCTCTATTAACAGTCGGTGAACGCAAACAAACAAATAAACGAACAAACACAACCCCAAAACAAACATCTCGTAACAGGCGAATATTTAATTTGTTGTTGCAATCGAATACGTTGTGCCGAAAAACACCTTAAACCACAATGCATCGTATTGTCGTTTATTCTTTTTTTTTAGTGCGAACGAGAAAGCATATAGTTTAAAACGCGCTGATGTGTAGAAAATTGTGATCTGTGATCTTGTCATTTGCTTTTTTATAGTGTTGATCGATACCCGTATTTTTGCACGCTGTGTTATTGCTAGAGTTGTTGTGTTTCATTACATGAATTATATTCATTTTGAAGATGTTAAATAAAACTACGGTGATCGTATATTTAAAGTTACTGTTGCGTTATGGTAACTCTCATTACAACCCTTCGGATCGATCCATAGGTGATACGATCTATTTTGCAGTAGCTTCACAATTTTGAACGACCCAATCATGTCCATTTTGTGTTGCTCAAACGTCTTGCGCTCTCAGTGAATATATTGAAATATAGTTAGTAATTCGTGTTGTTCTTTTCCTTGTGTGGATTATACAGAAAAACCGTGTTTATGAGACAAGTGGAGAAGGTCCCAGGATATTTGAGATGATTGTTAGACAGTTTTGGCAAAGATATTTTCGGAATCATTATACCTTTTTATTGCAAACGTCATTTATATTGTTTTCAGGCCAGTATAAACATACCGAGTGTATTGATAGTAAAAAATAAGAAACAGTAAGTCAACAGAACAGAATTCTCAGCCACAGCAACATTTCATATTTTTAGAAGATCAGCTATTTTTAGAAGATTTTATAAGACAGTCGTCCTTAGAAGATCTTAGAAAATAATCTTTTTTAGAATATTATAGAAGACAACCTTCTTTAGAAAGAAAAGAGATAATCAGTTTCTGAAAAAGGAAATAATGTCATTGGACCGGTTATAAATGAGCAGCTAACAAGCAAGAGAGTATCTACAAAAACAGAGCTGCCGTTGTCAACTTATGAAGTCGAAGATCAGTTAGCTGCCGTTTAGCAGTGACGATGCCTACTGTGAAAGGAGTCAGATGGTTTGCCACCCACTCCATGTGCCGTCTGTTCACTCATATATGCATACTCTTTGGTTACCTCTGTGGTGGTGCCGGTATCTTCATCCTCCTGGAGGGTTCTGCGGAGAGGGACATCGTTCAGAATCTCAGGGACAGAAGAAGAGCCTTCCTGGAAAAAAACACGTGTGTATCTGGTATGAGACAGTATGCTTAATTTATGTTTCGTCTTGATTGTTGATGTCTGTAGTTGACACTTTTACACGTCTTTGGGAAGATTAGGCATATCATCATCATCATGTAACAGGTCCTTTGCAGAACTTACCACTCATCACGTTCTGTCTGAAAGAAGCTCGGTCTTTCGCCAGCTATTCCGTCTCATGAATTCATTCATACTCAAGGAGTCACTTATATCCTGTGCCCATCTTCGTGTTGGTCGGCCCCTGCCCTTCCTTTCTGGTACCATGTCTTCTGAACCTGAGGCTCCCCGTGGTGCAGACTGGAAACTGAATCCGTTATGATTGATGCAGACGAACGTGGAAATGGTCATCTGGGGAGGAGTGTTCATTCCGTTGCTTTGGCTCTCTCTCTCTCTCTCTCTCTTTCTCTCTCTCTCTCTCTCTGACTCACTGTCACTCTGTCTCTCTCTCACACACACACACACAATCGTCACGTTCAACCAGCATCCCCGAAGGTTATAATTGTGACTGGGGTATTTGTGCCACATAAAATGTTTTACCATTGCACGCCAATGATATCCTTGAAAAAGGACACCTGCAGTGTTGATACGATCACAGGAGACAGACCCAAATACTGTCCCGACCGGCGTCGAAGTCGTCTACCGGCCAGCCAGTGTGCGACCAGGTCGCCGATGTGTGATGGGGAATGGGCCACGCAGGGTTGAAACACTGCATGTGACGCATGATGTTGACAGATACATCTGTCTAGATGCCAATAAAACATTCGCGATGTTAATCGCACTACACAATTGTCTCTTTGTCTACACAATATGAGTCTAGTATATGTTCTATGGGAGCCACCGTGATGTAACGGCTAGAAGCTGGCCTGACGGAGTCGGACTGTTTTCAAAAATGACTTAAGGGACCTGTTTACGTTTCCAGGCCCAGGATTAGAGTAACTTCCAAGCCATTCATGCTTGCTTAGGTCGCTGGACCTCTCCTAAGTTCCGGGGGTGTTATGATATAGCTTAATTTGGCGTTCGCTCGGCGTATGTATTGTTTTATGATAGGCTGTTTTGTTGTCAGTCTATTTCAGGCGCCACAGGCGCCTGTGTTCAAGTAAGAAGTACTACAAGGGGAATCGTCGCAGGCGTGTCGATTCTTAGCTATTGAAACTTTGCGGTTTTTGTATTTATACGTTCGTTAGTGATGCCCCCCCCCCCCCACCCCGAGAGAAAGAAAGCAGTTACAGGGAGCGGAGTAGCAGAACAGTATCCTGGTTGCATACTCCCGAACCGTCGCGCAGGTAGCAGAACGAGAAAATAATCACGCAAGTGAGCGGGAAGAAGAAGAGAGAAGAGGCTACGGTTACATCCTTCACACAAGGAAAACATGACTCCCCCACAACATAGGAGACGTCCAGCGACCTAAGGAGACATAAATGACAAGGGAAGTTACTGTAATCATGGGCCTTGAAACGCAAATAGCACCGCTCTTGCTCTCTGGTCGACTCAGCTTTAAATTGTCACCAGGTACAGTCCTGAGAAGGAAAGGTGTTCGGCGCAATGTTGACAGTAACACCCATTAAGTGCCGTTTTGTCTGTAAACTATAGGTATAGCCCTATATGCTCAGTACGTATGAAAGCGTGGAAAGGGCTCCTTGACTATATGTGCGATGCGCAAATGTCACAAAAGAACATCAGATATAATAAGTATCACACGAGACAGAAGGTTGTAAAATGACATTATGGCCAAGGTTGCACACCAAATGACCTTTTGTATTATAATTCGATTACATCGCAGATTTCAATTAAAAACAAAGCCAGGTGGCATATTTCCACCTCTGTCAAGACAATTTTGTTTAGTACACGGAAAGATTTGGTCTTCAGTGCCGCCTTCGTCGAGGCTACTGGTGGTATGGGATAGGTTTTCTAGCAGAAGGATCGAGGAGGAAGAAGAAGAAGAAGAAGAAGAAGAAGAAGAAGAAGAAGAAGAAGAAGAAGAAGAAGAAGAAGAAGAAGAAGAAGAAGAAGAAGAAGAAGAAGAAGGAGGAGAAGAAGAAGAAGAAGAAGAAGAAGAAGAAGAAGAAGAAGAAGAAGAAGAAGAAGAAGAAGAAAAGAAGAAGAAGAAGAAGAAGAAGAAGAAGAAGAAGAAGAAAAGAAGAAGAAGAAGGAGAGAGGAAGAAGAAGAAGAGAAGAAGAAGAAGAAGAAGAAGAAGAAGAAGAAGAAGAAAAAGAAGAAGAAGAAGAAGAAGAAGAAGAAGAAGAGAAAAAGAAGAAGAAGAAAAAGAAAACGAAGAAGACGAAGAAGAAGAAGACGCTTGCTACTAGTATCGTATTTGGCACAGAGCTGAATATTAGTCGAAGTCTTGGCACATCGCTGAAATGTTTGCATCATCATTGCTTAGCAGGTCCTTTGTAGAACGTCGCTCTCATCACGACATGTCGGAAATCCACTCCTATGAGCTCCACATGAGCTTTCATTTCATGCCCAGGGTGTCTTTGATATCTTGCATCCATTATCATGTTGGTTGACCTTTGCTCCTTCTGCAAGGGACCATACTTTCGATTACTGTTTTCCCCACCCTATTATGGCATTTACTGTTCACGAAACACGATACTGTTTATTCTAAACAATGTTTAACGTTTTTTCATTACAAATGTAAATAATGTACATGTAAACAGTATGTATTGATTGGCACATTTCTTTGTATTTCGTCAGGGGCGTTACTACAGAGGCAAATCGACGTATAACGAAGGACGCACTCGCGCACAAACACTTACAAACATACAAATGAAATATTTTCGCTGAAATACATTAATCGCATTGTCTGGTTAGGCCATACATTCAAAATCAGTCGTGTGATTACCATCTTAACTTTTAATTTATAACGTTTCGGTTTCTATTTGTTTACATAAAACAGGGAAGTACCATTTTATTGATACGGCCTCGGCCAGTTTTAATAAATGCTTGTTCAGTGTGTGGTAAATAATTCTGAAGATACAGAATATTTGCTAGCCTCCGTGATCCTGTCGCGAAAATTGTCACCCCCCCCCCTCCACCACCTTTTCCGATCCACACCCACGCCCTTTTCCTGGTTTACTATTCTCTAAAAGTTTTCATGTAACCTTTCACCTCAAACGCCCCGATGCTTGAATAGTCCTTTATTCGTTTCCTATGCTGCTACAGTCGGCTCTGTGGCAAAGTCGATGCGAACACTTCGCTTCGTAATGCCGGGATGCCAGGTTCGATCCCAGCTGCGGGCAATGCGCCTTGCGTTGGTTTCGACAGTGGTATCAAGAAAGCCGACCGTCCAGGAAGCAATGGCAAACTACTGGACTTAAATTTGCCTAGAGAAACCACACAACAGCCAGGGGCTGTTAGGGTTGGTTCTGCAACGTCCTCTAGAGGATACGCAACAACCTTATTTATGCTGCTACAGCAAGATGCTTGTTCTCTGAAAATCCTTCTGAAATTTGCTAACATTTCTGCATAAGCTTCCAATGCAAGTTAAGCTCGGCATAGTATGTGTCAATTTATTTTCATTGCTGATTTCTCTTCTTATTCTGTTTTTAATTTCCTAGAGTTGCATAGAAACACATGTATCTCACGCCGAAGTCTTTTGAATGTAATTTTTCACAACTAGTTCTGTTGTATATAGCTAAGGAGATTTAGCGATCAAGGTCATCTGTCCCACGCCATGATTTTTTTTATTCTCCTCTTACTTAATGCACAACTGAACCAGTCTTATCTCACAGACTTTACGGTTATCAGTTAAATAGATTAGCATGAAGCCCACTGCTTAATCACCCCCCCCCCCCCCACCCCTTTCCCCCACCCTTTTTTTCCAACCGTGCCGACACTAAGTTACGAAGATAATATTCTTTGCTTCCAATACGGTGTAAAAAAAAAAGGGGGGGGGGGTGTGGCATGACTCCATTAATGCTTGCAGGCAGATGGCTTTAAAGTATGTTCTACCATATGTTGGTGTTATTTATGTGTGCTTTGTTAGTAGAGTGTGTGACCACATTTATAGGTATATTCGTATTGACTTAATGGTTTTCAAGCGTGTGCAGTTTATTTAGCGGGTTCACACTTGACTGAGATAATTTAATGTCACGACAAGCTGTACAAACTGATGTGACATGATTACATTATAGCTTGTCTTCTTCTTCCTTCTCACCCTCCATCTCCGTGCTCTTCTTCTGGTGCTACTGTTTTTTTTTAAATATTTTTTTTTATTCTTCCTCTTGTGTTTTCTCTTCTTTTAGTACTACTGCTGCTGTTGCTGCTCCTGCTGCTGCTACTACTTTTTCTTTTTCATTTTGTGTTTTCTCTTATTTTAGTACCACTATTACTGCTGCTGCTACTGCTACTACTGCTGCTGCTGCTACTACTGCTACTACTGCTGCTGCTGCTACTACTGCTACTGCTACTATTACTATTACTGTTACTACTACTACTACTGCTACTACTACTGCTACTAAACTACTACTACTAACTACTACTACTAACTACTAACTACTACTACTAACTACTAACTAACTACTAACTACTACTACTAACTACTAACTACTACTACTACTACTACTACTAACTACTACTACTTCGTCCAGTTCTAGACGTTGGTCTTGTTTCAGAACTTGAATTTTGCACCCACATCCGTTTTTTCCCGGCATCTCAGGCAGATATTCTCCAACTTTAAGGGAAACACCCCTGACTTTACGAGTTGCTTGAAAAGAGCCATGATTCTGCCCCCCCCCCCCCCCCCTCCCTTTCCTCCGGTCCTGCTCCAATAGTGGGGCTGTGGAAGCTACAGGGAGATCTAGTTTTTTTGATTCTGTTCACTTATTCTGATCTGAATAGCTAATTAACGGTACTGTATTGTGTTAACTGTTAAATAAGCTTCTGGTCGCGATCCTTCTTGGGGTCGAACGACCCTTTCATAGGGGTCGCCTAACAAAATCGGAAAACACATATTTACTGAAGTTATGAAAAAAAGTAATTGTTTGGGGGTC